TTAAAATTTAAATTCACTGTTAGGTAGCAATGATTCGTCCAATTTATTACGTTCTTATGGAATAGTGTTGAAGCTCTCAGATTGCTCGAGATTCACGTTGTTAAAAGGAGGAAAGACCGACTGCTCTGGACAAGCATGGATAGGCACGTGGCCTGCACGTGTCTGTAAGAAGATATTATTCATCCATGCCGTCGCTTCAAGTTGTTTGGAGGTTGTTACCGTCGTTTCGATAGAACTCAGGTGCCTTCTACATTCTTTTTGGTTTCTCTCGTATTTCTCAAGTTCGCATAATCCCTGATAGTCGAGAATGAAATGAGGGTGCGGTTCTAATGGTCCTTTAATTTTAATCCGTAAATTGAGAAGTCTCTGCCTATATGAAATCACACTTTGCTAAACCCGTATTTAACTTCTTTTACGTGATGTGTGATTTGGAGAAATATTATTAAAAGGACGAGAGATTTATTTTAGTTAAATCAAAAGAGACCTTGTTGTTTTTAAAAGTCTACAATTTATTTCATCAAAATATTTTTTTTTCTTTTTTATGGTATTTGTTCATATTAGGAGCAGTTTGTTGTAGGATAGTATTCCAAGTTATTACATAAATAAAATTAAATTCATGACTACTTTAATATTGAACTAAAGTTGGGAGTCGAACCAAGATCGTCCTAGGATACTCTACCAATTGAGCTATTCCACACTTGTATGTTATTTCTTACTTTTGATACCTACACTCATCTAAATTTAAGTATTATTGACAATTGATATTGTTTCTAATGAAATTGGAGATGATAGAGTTCAGCTACATGAAAACCATGAATTCTCCAAGTTCCAATTTTGTTAATAATTAAAAATAACAAATCATGTTAGCACCTAAATCATGTCATAAATTGATCACTAATGTTTCCAATATAATTTCCTTTATACATGAAGTGTATTATTTGCACAAACTATAAATCTTATTTTTATGTGTCACTATTAAGAAGTATCATTGATATAAAAGGCTGTAAATAGCCTTTTAATAGTAGTTCGTGTTGTGGAATCCCATCAACTGCTAATAATTGACAAACCATCTGGACAGCTGATGACATTCATTAACAAATTTCAGGACCAAAGGAGAGAAAATATTCGGCAGTTGGCACGAGCTGTTGTCCAATTCTACTAATCCTACTGACCGTTGACAGAGTCTCTAGATGACCACAATGTTGTGGAAGACATTGAATTTCTTCTCTTGCTCGGTTTTTTTCTCAACGGGAAACTTTTTCAGGAATTGAAAAATAAAGGCGGTCACCAAGTTCAATGGCAATTGTAATATAGTTGTTGGACGCGTGTAACTAGTACGCCTTTTGTATTTTAGTCTTCAACGAGTACAACGAAGAACCTTCAAAGGTTATAATGTCCACAGGGAGGAGCGTTTTGAGAGAGAGTAGAATTTCGACTGGAATATTTACGGCTGCCCCTGGCGTTTTGGGACTTCCAATCTTTCTTTCTATTTTTCTTTCATCTCATCCGGCTTAGATCATTTCAATGAAGAAAAAGAAACACATAAATTCTTATCGCTACTTTAAGTAGTAATAACACTATTTAGAAAATTAGGGTGTAACAAATCACTGGTGATATCCATGACCACTGGTATCATATTCACAGTTACATTTCAATCATCACTGCTGCTGGGTGAGAACCAAAACAATCTCAATTTCGCATGCACTCATTATAAATAAACACTCTATATATTATCAGTTTATCAAATATCTTCAACAAAAGTTGAAAGAACAATTCTCTTCTAGCACTCATTTCAGATAGATATGGTTTACCAACTCCATTACACTTTGAAATCAATTTTAAATCATCAAATGCCACTGCTTTCATGTTGATTATGTTGAAAAGCTGATATAGATGGTTTTTTCCCTGGATTTCCAACAGTCCCTAGTAACTTCAAAGTAGAACAATATTTATGTCGACATCTTACACAATTTCCAATCATTTTCATTTCTCTTGCATCGAAGCTGAGTTGTCTCCAGTTCCTTCAACTTCCTCTGCTCTAAAGTGAGAATAATTTTCAATTCCTCGAATAAGAGGACTTATGACTTTGAAATAGTTGAAACTTCACTGTAAATATAGAATTAGAAATACACAAAACTGTCATGTAATTTTTTTCTTTATATAAAACTTTTTTTTTTAGCAGGTAAAACATTTTCAATGCAGCATGCATATACATATGTATATATATATAGTATTTTTGAGTAAGGAATGAGGTATATTGAATGTAGAGTTTTAGAGTCTCAGAAAAATCATGGGGGGTTCTCACCAGGCGGGATTTAGCTCCCTGCTGGATGTCGAAGTTCATTGTCCCAGTCCTACTTGTTTAGCATTCACACACCGCGCGTTGACATTCTCCCTTGAGCTGTTCTTCCGTTTCACATCCTGTCGATCTTAGAATTTTTTAGCCGATAGGTAATGGTTTTCACTTGAGGTCGGTAACATCAATGTTAATGTTTGATTTCCTCTATTGAGTTGCGCCGATCGCTTGAATCCGGTTACCGCAGGTTCTTTGTCTCTTTCAACAGATCGTGTATATTTACTGGTTCCGGTGGTGCTTTTTTGGGTCCTTCTCGATTCGGTATCCTCAACGATCGGCTTCTTGTCTCTTCAACGGTTTCCCTCTTTACCGCAGAACCGGTTTTTCGACTGATACTTCTGCCGTTTCTTTTTGCCTGGTTAATAACTTTTCGGTGTGAATGTCGTCTGTTTGGTACGATCTACAAACGATCGATTCAACTTTCAAGACTTGGTAGCAGATTTAGGATTCACCATTTAAGAAGAAGAGTACCAAAGAGTGTGAGAAAATAATTTTTAAATTTTCAAAGAATCTATAGACCGACAACTGGGATAGTCTTTAAATCAACTACAAAAAAAAATAAAAGTCTCTCTTCGTAGAGACGGCTTTCCAACTACTGGTAAAAACCCTCAACCGCAGAAAGCGTGGCCGGATAAAATTGCTCGCTCTGCTGATCACTGATTTCAATGAGTCCTGCTGCATCTTTCTCCTGATAGTTATCTTGCCAAGGAAGTGTTTAACTTGAAATTCAACTTTACGGAAGTTTGGTATTGTATTAGAGATTATACATAAGCTTTAACTAATTTATTGTGGTTGTATATATACACATAGAACCAATTATAAGTGGTTACATATCTACAAACAATCGAGCACGAGCCTAGGGATATTTACTTTCGACCCAATTCATGGGGATTCGTAGTAGTCCATGTTGATAAAGCTGATAGGGAAATAAATGTTAGTTCTCTGATGGTTTACCACTCAATATCATTTCATAAACAATTTAAACAAATATTGGGAAATTAATTTTTTATGGGCCATATGTATAAAAAACACTACAATTATACATAATTTTACTATTTACTGTCTATTGCGTTAATGACTACAAAAATTTGAAATATTTCTTCCTCGACTTATTTATAAATCCAAGTTTTGTATATTAGAATTTCATTTAATTGTACTCTTCTAAATTTTATATCTCATACTATACCATCAATAGTCAATATGAAAACACTAAGAAATCAAAGAAAAATACTCTATTAAACTAAATCAGTGAAAACTACTTCAAATCAGTGAAATTCAAGAATTAAGACGCCAATGCAATAATGACTGTCAAGAAATACTGAACAATATGACAAATAATATTGAAACAACTAAAATAGCGGAGTTAGAGAATCAGGTATAAAGTACCTCACAAAAGCTTCTCGATAAAGACTGGTCCATTAAAAATTCAGAAAAGTTGTTAGAAAACAAAGAGCTGTTGAATCAAGAAAACTGTGTGATACATATTAATCATAAAATATTTAAAATACGATTATTTTATGAGATGATGGTGAAAAGCTATTTGTTCTTGCTGAAACATCATCAGTCATCATGAGAGATGTTCAAGGTCTGTCTCCAACATCTATAGATTCTCACGCCTACTCTAAACAGCTTGTGTTCACAGCCAGAAAGTGTGCGCAAAAAGAAAAAACATTGCAAAAGGTGGGCTGAGAGTTCGGCAGAACGCCCGATGTGTAACAGTGCTTACTAGATTCTACGGATACACGCCTACAAACAAACTCACTCAGGTTCAGAGTTGCTGAACGCAGGTGTGAGAGTCAGTGTAACATAGGACGTCTAATGGGGCGCGACAAGGTAGAGTAACGAGTAGAGGGACTTGGAAGGCGGAGTCACATTTATTTTGGCTAAGAGTAAGGGGCATGTGGGACGTCCTTTAACCAAGACATTCCCCACTTTTTACCACCACCAGAATCACTGCCAACTGGGGGCACTCAAACTCCCTGCGATGATATCCTCAGGCTTGTTCCCTCACTCCACTTCGCGGTCCGAGCGGCGCAACAACGCAGTGTCGCTGCGCCTTTGCTCGGTTCTTTCATCCCCCCGTAGTGTGATCTCCAAAGGCACATGCGCTATGCACTAAAATCTCATGTGCTGTGCAATATACTTGGTGTGTCGAATACTCATATACATTATCTTGTATAAATCCAACTTCGAGAATTCATCTGATTGTTGGTATTGATGTTGGACGTCAAATTTAGTGAACTATTTGCGGGACAGTGTGTTAATTTGGTGACCAAGTGTCGTGTTTCCGACGGGTCCTTGTTGGAATTTTATAGTGCCAGTGATATTAAGTGACTTTCAAAATGTGCGTGAATATTTTCATCATCAACATTAACTGAAACTTGTCAAATTTCGATCCAGTGGCAACTTATAGACCATGGTTTTTTGATTGATCCTATCAGAAAGATTGTATGAATGACCGACATGTCAAGTGTTTATTACAATTCAAGTGAAGTTGTTTAAATAAAAAATCAAGAAAGAATACTGATCATAAAAGCACCAGCTATATATATAATTATATATATAGTTTCTTAAAAATCTTTTAGCGTTTTCAACGTCATCTCAGATTTTCTGCGGGAACTACCCCGCTACAGCAGCCACCCTGATGGGAGTGTATGAGGAGCGCAACCCTCCTACCACCGGCATGCACTGGGTAAATATATTTTCAACATCACATTCAATCTTTGCTTTCTATTTTCTACATCTGATACACTGTTCATATGTCCAATCGATTTCATTTCAAAGTACACGAATGACGTGAGAAAATGCTTTCATGGCTTTTTGCAACACTGACTAGCATTTGTGTATGGTCCGTTTGTACGAGAAATCCACCAACTACCTTCTGTTATTACGCGATATTATGTTGTGCAATTATTTGAGAAAGTGAGATCCATTCACAAAACATCTTGATTTTATTATTCTATGGTAATTATTTTATTTGTACTCTTCTCTATATATAGCCAATGATGAAAATAATCCCAACAGTAGCGTTGACAGCTAACTTGAATTATTAGTGTCAAACCGGTTTCAGAATGTAATAAAAATTGGTTTTCATTTTTTTCAAACACTAAAATCAACATTTTTATGGAATCTATGGTCTTTGAACAGTTGGAATAATCCAAGTATTATCATTGACATGTATCAATATCATCAGTGATCAAATGATGGTGTCTTACAATATCAATTATATATTCATACTTGTATTTAGTATATTCGCAAGGTTTTGTTATTTTCATCAAGCCGAGTCGTTCGTTTAAAAACCTGTTTCTGTAGGTTTACGACCTATCGTAGAATTTGCACTTTGGCATCTGTCATTCAAAATTCATTCATTTCCTATCTTCATAACTACGTCTGAATACTTGATAATTTTCCAGACTTTAATAAATTAATTCATGGATGAATAATTTTCCAACAAGGGTTGACTCCATCTACCCTTTTGATGTCTGTCAGTGATAGAAAAATGTCACGAGACACTTGTGTTTTTTAGCTGACAACTATACTGACGTATCTCGTCTTTTTCATGTTTTTTTCTATGTTTTTCCCCTTCTGAATGAACTGAAGCAGGATATCGTCCACCTGCTCGGTTGCTTCTTTGTTTTTAGCTTTTTAGTGGAGATGATTTTGTAATCACAGACTGTAAAATCATTTAAATAATATTTATTTATTTTATAGTTTATTTATCAATAATACCACTATTATGATCATGTGGATGAAAGTTTTTAAATTTGTTAACTCTCTAATAAATGTTTTAATTGATCATATAAATATTAATTTATTCATCACATTTATACTATTTAAAGCAAAATGATAAATGTTAAGTACAGAAATTAAAAACATTTTTATTGGTAATTAAATATATAAAAATATTTGATACCATTTAACGGTTATATCAATGGGCATTAAGATTACCTGGAGGGTAAAAAACATGAGCAGAAACTTATAACAATCTATTCAGCTTTAAATATTAGCAAAAGTTTTTTTTAATTGTTTCAATTAATTCTTACATTTCAATATTTGCATCCTACTTCTAAAGACTTGGAAATATCATTAGGAAGTTTCACTACAGGGTAAATTATTCTTATCTTTATACAGTGTACCATGATTACCCTGCATGTCAAGGTATTTTTTATTTAATTCTTCTTTTTTTATAGCAACGATTCCAATTGCTGAGATTGAATTAGAATAGGTAGAGTTCACCATTCAAGTCAATTCGACTCCAGCACCTTTCATTCTTAGTCCAACTTTTAGGAAGTTTATATTAAAGATAATTTTTCAAATCAAGAAGCAAATAAGACATCTAGACATCTTGATCATCTTGAGCATGATTTTCGCCCCAACAGAAGTAAAAGTAACTGACCACCTTGGAGCAACCCTTAGATTAAAGGCGTGTAAAGGTATTATTTAGCAGTAATCATTCAGATGCACAGAGCGTTACATCCTGGACGAGTGTAAGCTTTATAAGACGTCATAAATCATCTTCTTGTCACTGTTTGCTTTCCGGGATTATTATATTTAAATGAATTTTTATGAGAACACTATCATGTACCACTGAAAATTGAATAAAAATATTTAAATGAAACCTGATAATATAAATATATAGATATAAATATACATCAGCAAACTTTGGATTAATGAAGAACTGGGGCTACTTACCCTTTTCGACTTCCTGGCTAGCGGCCTGTAAAGGCGTTACTCGATGATAATTATTCTTATACCGCAAAGCGTAACCGTAGATCCGTTCATTGTAAAACCACATTCATGATATATATACGTATATATATATATCAGAATTTATATAAATAAATATATATATAGAATTTATATAGATGTACATACATAAATACATTTATCCACACGACCAATCACTTCAATCTAATTGTTTTGATGCATAATAAATAATGAAAACTTGAATAATAGAAAATGAAGTGGCGTCTATGGGTCTCATATAGTTTTATTTCATAAGTGTTACTGAGTACACTACAAGTTAAAAGATAATCTTGGTCGCATTATAAGATAAGGAATATTTTCTCTTTCACTCTGTTGCTTATTCCTCACTCAGCGTGTCTGGCGACGATAGTAAAATAGTGACGTAGCATGCTCTTGTGTCGAGACTCATAATTTATTGGCATATGAACGAGACAACGATGTCTGATTCTCTCTCGGGTTGACTCCAAGTATAATAAAAAGAAATGTTCTTCAGAAATGTTTTTTTTTGTTTCCACGACGGTTCAAGACCAAAGAACAAATTTCACTTTTTTAAAATAAAACAACTTTTTATGTCATATTCGATAAATAGCTCGATTACTGAATATAGAAATACTATGAAAAAATTGTGGGCAGCCCAATGATAACCCCAATCATTGCTTCAAGGTTTTATCACTGAAATTCTATTTCTTTTTTTTCGGCTCACCAGTCGAAAACTTGCAGTTTTTTTTTTTTAACGATCTGAGACCTTTGACTTGATTATCAACAAGTTTTAGGATTTATGAATCCATTAAGTTCTATAGATTTATTTTGAAAGTGAAAATTCTTCTGAATTAACAATAAAATGGATATTATAATCCAAACAGTGGCGGCGTAGAATAGTAGATATTTTATCAGACCTTAATGTTAACCGTCACCCACGCGAAATGTGTGTAGTGACCATTTATTTTAAGAGTTGAGGATGCAGGAACAAGCTGAGGTCGTTTGATATCTTTTCTGTTATGTTTCTTTGCTTACTGACAATAAAAAGCTATTTTTTATTATACTTTCATCATTCAAAAATTAATTTGAATGGTTTTTGCATTGTCATTTAGCAGTACCTTCTTCATTTAGTTGGAAGAATAGTTTTTAATTGATTCAATGCTTCAGTATTTAGACAATGTCAGATTTTCATGTAAAAATATACCAGTCTTTTTCCTACTAAAAGCAGTTTAACCAACTTTTATCTGCAATATATATTGTAAACTATGTCATAAACCAATCCAAGCTTTTTTTATTTATTACTGTGAATTTGTTTTTTTACTTACTGATCTATGGACCAAAGGTAAAAACTGTTTGAAATCTTTGTCGACAAGTTGAGTCTGGTTGTTCTTGATCATCTTAACCTATAAATGAATCGAAAAAATAATTGACTTCTAGTTGTTTATTAAAAAATACAAATATCAATGAAAGTTAACTGCATGTAAAATAAATAGTTAATTAAGAATTGACAAAAAAAATGATTAAAAAACAAGCTATTTCTTGACAATTAAACTATAACTGAATTTGATAAAACGAAAAACGGAAGTACATTTCACGACATGTCCCATACAAACTTTCTTTAGAAGTTCTTTTTCTTCATATCCCTGAGCGACATTTCAAACTGCATTCTTGTCTTCGCGGTAGGTTTCCGCGTCTCTACATTTCTTGTTATTTACCTCACGTTTGTGAAAAATGAAAAAAAAAGGCACCGAGAGCTTGTTTTGTCTCTTATGTGGAGGTTTGACCGGTGAAAGTCGATAGAGTGTATTGACTAGGAGATACATAAAAAGTAAGCTTATGGTGGTGTTTGAGCAACCAATTTCCTTAGATGTTATTGAAGAAAAAAAAAACAACTGATAGTTAACGCGATTTCAAGGATTGCTGATAGCGAATCAAAAGGTAGCACTTGAGGAAAACTGTTTATGATGGCATAGCAGCCATAACCTGCATCATTTGATTGCAAACGTGCCGCTTGGTTGAGACTGCCGTAAATACCGGTATCTGCTGTCGTAAAGTACGGCATTGGTTTTCTAGCAGAGCTGGAGAGTATCAAGAGGAAACGGCCAAAGGGAGAGAGACGATAATTTATGTCGCGGTGCAACCACGAAGAGAGAGAACGAAAGAGAGAATGAAAAAGAGAGAAAGAAGCCGCGTGCTGACAGTTGAAACACGGCGGTGGTTCGGATTGGCCGGTAGTAGAGGCGCCTTATAGGGTGAATGCGCATGCGCGGAGGTTCGCGACATCCATCAGCGTCTACCAACGTGCCACTGTCACACGGCGTAACTCGCCGTCACTTCCCCCCCTCTTTTGAGCCGAGTCTTTCTTTCCATCATTTAACCCCTTTTTTTCTTTCTGATTCTTTGCTTTACACTTATTTGGAACTCCACCTGAATTGATTCAAGACTTCAGAATGATTAAATAGTGTGATTTGTTTTAGCAGCCGCCAAGCTCGCAGGAGCGAGGTAGCGGCTTGGCTTTGGGCTGTCAAGGTGGGTTAGGAGGGAGCGCAGGGGGGCCTGGAGCAATGGATCAGACGCGGGATCTTAGCCCGTGTCTTCCTGCGTCAATGGGTGATGCCGCAAGACCAACTACTTTGCCTTGTAGCCCCCCTGCGGCTCATCACGGAACACATCGTATGCTTTATCAAACTCACTGTGGCACCAATAATAACTGCTACGAAGGATCGACCACCCCTTACGAACTGAGAGATTACGGATCACCTGGAGGTAGGTCGAACATTTAAACTTTTTCATGCTGACTTTAATACCTAATCACTTGATCATTCAACAGGTGGAACAGAGTTTCGAAATAGTAGTTATGATAATCCAAGTGACTCCAATATTCAAACTCAACCGACACCTAATCATCATCAGCATCACAATCATCAAATTCATCAACAATCACAGTCGTTAGAAGGCCGACCGCCGGATGATTTACATGCAGTCCCCAAGTTGGAACCACCGCCAACACCACCATCTCAGCTGGAAGATGTTCCTGGGGTTGTCTGTGCTGGATGCGGTCTTAGAATATCCGACAGGTTTTATCTCCAGGCGGTCGATAGGAGGTGGCATGCTGCATGCTTACAATGCTCTCACTGTCACCAGGGGCTTGATGGTGAAGTCACCTGTTTCAGCAGAGATGGAAATATTTATTGCAAAAAAGATTATTACAAGTAAGTACTCTGAAAATTATTACCTATTCCGTCAGCGTTATTTAAATCTACTCGGTTTTGATATTGAAATAAAAAATAAATAAATAAATGATAATTTTATAAAAAAATATATGAGCATTAAAACAGTTGGACAAATGAGATTAAAGACAATGCATAAAACACTTCAGGAAGGTATCGTTCATTCGTGATGAAATGTAGATTGACGGTGATTTACTTATCGAGAATCAATGCTTCACCGGAGGTAAATAGCCGAGTCGTGACCATTAGTCCGTGAATTCTCTGGACTTGAGTAGTAGAAATCACTTCAGCATCCTGTGCGTTCGTACAGTTCAACATTCACCATGTACAGTACAATTCTTTTATCATATTTATGAAGAGATTAATTTTTTCTTCTGCGTCCAATTAAATTTCCAAATACAACTAACAGAAATTAATTGATTATTATCTACAAATAACAAACTCAGAAGGTTTATTTTTAATGAATAAGAAAATAAATTCTAATTTTGTAATTGATAATTATAACTGTTGAAAAAAAAAAGAACATTTAGAAAATAACATCCTGACCTTACTCAACATATTTAAAATTTCCATTTCAAAACTGACTAATTATATCTTACCAAATTACTCGGCCTCAAAATTTCTCTATCTTGAAAAAATGTGATACGCTGTGCTATAATTATTCCACCAAAAATACTCATCAGAAAAAAATCAACATAGACTTTAGGAAGGTCTAAAAGTTTATTTAACTTCAAAATAATAATCAGATAAACAATTTCTTTCAACTTGATGCCAAACTGCTAGAATATTTAGCAAAATGTCTTGCAATATGTAGCAATGTCAACGAAAACTTGAAACAAACTATTGCCAGAGATTTTGATGAATCTCCATCGAGAACATAAGACTCTAATCAAACTATTTTCTATTCAACTTGCAGAGAGTTGTTGAATTTTTTTGCAACACCACCAGAACTGTATCAAGTGATTTTATTAACATCAATAACGAACAAAAATTAATGATATATTGGCCATTTTGTTGAATGACTTTTCTCCATCTCCATCAGCTAGCTATAGAGTTCTGCAATTAAAGAAAGTTCAGTTTTTCTAAGCAATCACTTGAAAATAAACGATATTACTTTTCAAACAACCTGAGATTTATAATTTTTTCAGTTTTGAACTACTTTGTAATTGATAATTACGAATTTCTTATGACAGATTTTCTAGGTAGACCATAATTTCCCTAAAAAATATTCCTTTTGCTAATCATTGATATCCAACATGAAGTATTGATTAAATATTCCTCATCTAGGGTCAATTGTTACATTTTAAATCAGCCATTAAGAACCTAGATAGATATTTACCTAGATTAAAAATAAAATCTTTAGCTAGTCAGAATGCCAAAATAACATTGGCATTCCGTGTGTTATATAGTGAATAGATTGGAGAACTAGATAAGAAGCCGGTCTTAGTACGCTAATGAAGACGCACCAAAAGAGTAAAAGAGAGAAGAAAAATGAGATAAAAAAAAAGAGAAATGATGAAAGAGAAAGAGAAGCTGGTGGAACTGGAGATAGTAAAGTGACATCTTTGATATACAAGTTATTCATGTGCACGCGTTAGTAATGTTCATGTGCGTTAACGTGATAGATCTTTTGTAGAAAAGTCCTACCTAAAGAGTAGCTCAGCAACAGACGTTGGTACCTATCTATGCACTATCTTATGCTCGTATATATACACATATATATGTAAGACAATGTTGGATATCCCGTCACGACACGCTTTTGGATGAAAGGCCTTATCTTTACCCTTGCATGTGCAATCTTAGAGCGAAAATAAGAAGTGGGGAAGTCTTAACTGTTATTAGAAGACGTCGCGTGAGGACACAATGTCCCTTGTCTTCAACTCTCTGTAGATCACAGACAAAGGAAATAGCTTTATGTATTTTGATTTTGTTCATTTTTTTTTTCACTGTTGTACTGAGAAATCGGCTAATCTAACATTTTATTTTATTTGTCTGTACAATGCAGGGCTTGCTCGATGCTCTTGAATGATATGAAGAAGAGTCAAATTAGCAGGAGTCATGTCGATCATAAATGAGTATTTCTTCGTCACTTTGCGTGATGACTGGGCCTGCCCGGGTGATTTTGTTGTAAAAATTGCTTTCACGTAAAGGAGATTATTACTTTATACTTGTGGCTTCAATATAACTTCCTGGATTATTTCTTTTTATCTTTTCATTTTTCATGATGAAACCATGTGAATAACAAAGCGTAAAGAAGTGTCATTTGATGAAAATTATTTTCTCAAACAAGATAAGAAATTAGACGAATTTGTAAATGTCAAATTCTATATAATCATGAACAAAAAAACTTTTTGTCATATAATGACTTATTCTCATAATTTTCTAGCACTTTGTTCGAAATAATCACACATTATTTTTAAATAAATATAATTATTAACAGTAAACATAATCTGATGCTGCACTATGATTATTGATATATAAATTGAGTTAGCAATAAGTTAAAGTACTTAAAAGTTACGTCGAGTTGGTAATCAAATAATAATAGATAATGATAAAAAGAAACTGCATTACAATTTTGCGTGACTAGTTGAATACACTGGTACTTCTTTTACCAAGAACAAAATTGTTTTTGAATTAGCTTCAAGTTCAATTCAAAATACTTAAGATTTCCTTCCTCTGATGATGATGATGATGATGATGATGATGATGATGATGATGATGCTGAAGAATAAAATATTTTTAATTATTTATTTTCGTGCAGATAAACTGTTTGGATTTCACAATAACTTTCTCTCAATTCTTTTTGGCATCCTTATTCTAAATAAACGATTAATCAATGGATACCCACTGCGTTTATAAAGCATAAAACGATGAGACGCGTGCATTGGAACCTTCATATCATGAATCAGACAATTTTAATGTGTACAAGTTGCACTTAATGACTGCGATTGCCATGAAAGATTGAAAGAACAACTCACTTCAAGAATTACTGCCAGATAGCTAAACTAACTTTGTGCTTTTTTTTTTGACATGAACATACAGATCACTTGAGGTAGAATGATATTTAGTATTTGCTTCAAGAGCAATTGATTCTTTAATGGAATGCAAATATCAAAATAATTCATGTATTTAAATACACACTTTTAGTACTAGTACATATAACTTGGAAACTACAGGAGAATATTTAGTAGGACATCAATCATTGCATGTAGGAAGAGAAAGGGAAATTGTGTGATCATGGAGATCATGGTAATGTCTATCTTGAATGTTTTATTTACATTATTTATCGTAATTAATTGTACAATTCTGATAGTTATCCAAATCAAAAAGTTTGGTTTTAAGTCTGTATTAATGAAGTTGGATCCAATTGCCAATTTTTAGTCATCATTTTATGCTAGTTTCTTTCTTTAATTAAATTTTCTAAATGTATTGCTCATATTTTGAACAATTTTTAAAATTAATATTCATCTTGATCCAATCTTTCTGTAAGCTTTTTGCTGATAAGTATGAAGGAAGTTGAATTAGAATTAGAAACTCCACTGATTTCTGATTCCTCCTAGTATTTACAATTTCAAAAAACCATTCAAATTATTAGATATTTTGATGAAAGTTAGATATTGGACCTTTTTAGATGAAGAAAATTAACTTATATTGAGCTAAGGACCAACAATAGATGTAAATAAGCATAAATTACTCTAAAAAAAGGACAAAAAACACTATCTAAATTTTTATTCAAGTGATAACATATTTGCTAAACTCAACTGACGTACTCTTAGCTACTTTCCTTCCTATAAATAAAACCTTAACTTAATACATAAATTAAATACCTGATTTTACGATGCATCGTAACATTGTATGATGAATAATTAATACTCATGGCCCATGACACCAATCTACAAACAATTTCCTCATCAAATTTTAGTGATAATTCTCGTGGAAACTTTCATCTATTCCTATGAAGGCTCATCGTAAATTAAGTACTAGACTTCCTGGATCGTCTGGGTGGCAATAGTCACGCATCGAAAAGATGGCGTGTTAGAATACCGCATACATACATGTAAAAAACATGTCTTCACTAACTTTTATTAAACTTACACATAAATATAAGTATATATAAGTGAACTTACCTTCCGTCCCTCCCAAGAAATCGTTTCACGGATAAGAACATCGCGTGTTCTTCCACGATGACTGAGCTCGACTTCCATGGTCTATCTATCATCAGCGGATCTGAGCCCATCTTGATGGAGACCAAGTTTTCGCGGGAGAACCAAGAGTGTCCCGTTTATATTCCCATGACAGATGTATTAAGAACAGAGATATCTATAACATTGTTGCAAATTATCATGATTATCATGAAGATATTACCCTTGTTTACTCCAGCTCCAAATCATAGTTTGAATGTAACTAAACAATTAATATGTCCAACATCAATTGATGGGTTCAATACTCAATTTTATCATGAACTAAGTCTGGGATCAACATAGCAAGTTTAATTCCAGCCCAATCTAATTGCTAGATGTTAGCAAAATAAACCTTTAAATTTTTAGTAAATTTTCCAATTTTATCCACTTATTTTCCAGAGTTGAGGCATACGCAATCCTTTAATACCATAAAATTAAAGATAGTTTGTAAAATACTAAGACTCAAGATCTCAGAAAATTTACGTGGCATCCCGTTGGGATTTTCGGAGGAAAAGTAGCCAAGGGTATAAATATGACGGAGTCACGACCCTGCAGGGTACAGCAAGGGTAACATAATACTACCGGCGCCGTGACAACTTGACACTCAGGACATGCATCATCAGTAGCCACCGTGGTGTCGTGATATTTTTTTCTTTCATTTTTAACATACTACCTGGGCATCTTGCAGTAATTTTGAAACTCTTGTTATTCATAAAAATCTTTTGTTTGTAATAATGTAGAACATGTAGCTTTAAAAGTAGGCCATTATTAATAATTTTTATGATATAGATCAGCACTTATAGAGGATGATTTGGTATCACGATGTAGTAGATTTTAAAAGATAGTCGACAAACATATTTATACTGGTGACACCTGCAACCAACCAAGCCATGTATCATCTGCATGACCAGATCCGAGGCCACTTTTAAGAACAAGCTACAAGTGTAACTACATTCAAGGCAACCAGTCTTGAACATATTGATCATATGGTATTATCGATGTAGCAGTTTGTTTTCACTTTAATTCGTTATAAATTTTTTTTTAAATCAACAAAATTACTCCAATGATCATTGGACAGAATAGAATAGAAATGATCTAGGATTGAAGTGGCTTTCCTAGTCAATATCCAATTATTAACTAGTCTCATCATTATCATCAACGATTGACTATGATGCAGTAGCTAACTTAAAAGTCAATTTCAACGTGTATTATCATCAAAGTATAGCTGTTATTAGTTACAGATAATTCTTGTCTTTTAAATATAAAACAAAATTTCAAACATTTGCAAAATGAAATGATTTTTTCTCAGCATACATACCACTTAGTTTACTCCAAGGATTCAGCGTAGCTCCACAGGAGGGCGTTCTCTCGAAGAACCAAGCAGGTCATATCCAAGTCGTGTGTCCACACGAACTCCGAGTGTCACCACATAAAGCATCCTGACAAAAATATCGGGTTACCTGGGGTGGAGACTAACTTTTAAAAAGATGTTCATATTTCTTGGACATAAATTCACAATAAAATTTTACTCAATATCAAGCTGCATTTTTTGGTGCAAGACAAAAAGGTTGAAAGCAAATTTGATGCAGTGGCCAGCTGTTGGATTTATTTTTGAAAGAAGAAAAAAAAATGTATGATAAGGATTAAGGTACCTATACTTTGAGAATCAGTGAACAAAACTTCACGATAATGTGTACGTGATACAGATCCCAAACGCACTTTACGATGTCGTGTTGCCGTCGCATTAGTCAACCGACGATGTCCGGTGTTGGTGCTATTCGCGTACACCAGCAGCACTAACACCGTCATATGTAAGACCTGTTTAGATGATATATTTGTAGTGTCATTGCAATTTATTCGTTGCTATAATATATTATTTCTTCGACAGTCAGAGTATAGAGAAAATAATATAACTAATGGAGTACTTGATAGATGTTTTAATTAAAATCAAGTGTTGATCAAATTTTTGATATGCATGACATTAAGGAAAAGTGTCATGAAAATACTACTATCCAATCTACAATAATATTTATTTGGTATCTACATATTATTATTTCATTATATCACTAATGATTTAACACCAGAAATATAGATAAATCAGCATAAACAGTTGCATTCATTTATCTTTTGAAAAAATGTTGAACAAATCATACTACTTTGAGATTATGGTATGCCAATAAGAAGATATCTTGATAATATAATACCATGATCTAGATTAATGTAAGGAGCCAGAAAGTAGTCACGTAGTGCGTCCTACGCACAGCGGTATCCACTATTCATATACGACACTATCATGCTATATGTCATTCATAAAATAAAACATCATGAGCTTATGATTAAAAGAATTAAAAAATATTTCGTTCAGATCAATGATGGGGAATATTCAAGATGAGCTTCAGCATGTTGGGTTTACTCTTGAAAAAGAAAGATTACTTAGTTTCGAAGAATACTTATTGGATCCAAAATTATCATCAAATTAAATCGTTGATTGAATTTAAAGTATCAAAATAAATTAATTGTGTTTTTGATCAAGAGCTAGTGAGTTTTTGGAAGCATAAATGCTAGTTAATTCATTGATTTATTCTTAAATATTTTACGTGCAAACTCTGAGGTATTCCAAGGTTGATACATTACTAGTCCAACATGAGGCCAATCTATCAAATCTTACTCCAATGTTGGACTAGTCTTACTTCTTGGTAGAATAATAGTAGCACTGTCTTAAACTTGATCAGTTAATATTATTTGAACATCAGCTTTAATCATGTCACCAAGAATCAGTAAAATTCAAGTTGGTTGGAATAGTGATAAAATAGCTGTATAATTCATGGAGATAAATGATTCTTTGGTACATTTAATTTGATATTATTCATGAATCAGTAATAAGAAAATATACTGAAATAATATTCTAGTAAAAGTAGATTATTTCATGTGAACTGATTGTCTAAAAAGAGATTTTAATTAGACTACTCAATCTCCAAAGCAAAGACATATCGACATATGAGGTGTAACTCACGTGCTACTTATGAGATGGCTGTGAGATTTGGTATTGAGTGTGCGAACTCACGGCAAGTGGTCCTATACACAACACACCTTTTATAAAAGATTTCCGACTCTTTGTGAAGATTTGTGTTTAGTAGTTTAAGGTTTTAGGTTCTAGAGGTTGGGGCGTGATTCCAAAGTTGTATAATAATGTAACGCATATGGCGATACTTGTAAAACTCTGCGGGAAGTCCCGACGGGGCAACCGCATCCATAATGAAATACATATGAATGACGTCATTGGTGAGACTCATTCATAGATTTTGGGAGTTTTGAAGAAAAGGGCGAGGGTAAGCTGGAAGGAATAGATAGAAAGTATTTGTACAGGTAGAAAGAATATTTAGCAAAATGTTTCTGAACTTATAACAGTAGGGCTAACTGGACTTGGCGATTACGTAACGTGTTGTCAGATTCGATTAAACCCAAATGTAACCAACGGTGACCTCCTGGGTCGAGGGTAACGGCATTGACGGGATCAAGATGACAATGCATGTGTATTTGTCGTGTTAAGTCAAGAGACTCTTAAGGACTTACCATCACTAATCTCTTCCACATTGGTTTTGCTTGATTTAACTACAACAGCATGACAATTTTTATTGTGAATTAGAGAGATAAAATATTTCGACAAGAATTTCAAATTAATCTGTGTGAATGAGTGGTCAACAACTGGTATTCTATACTATATAGAATCAAAAGCTATATCTCTATCTAGTCCACTCCGTCGGCAACCTGAAGTCTGCAATATATTTGGTATCAGAGACAGGAAAAAGGTAGGTAGCTGGGAGGACGATATCTTTTAAGATAGAAGGTCCAAGGTTCTCCGGCTGTTCGTAATGGAGACTGTAGGGTGCCACTAATGCAGTAGCGATGTCAAGTAGTCTCCGTGTATCAGAATACTTCTCTTCCGCCGCTTTATATGCCTCTGTTTTACTGCCATTGATTTTCGATATCAATTGCATATCGATTTGAATTTTTTTTTATTCACTCTATAACATCAGTGAGAAATGTTCTCGAACGTGCCTTATCCGTTTAATTTTAAATGATCATTATTTTATTCACTTTTTAACTACATTCTGATATTTAATGTTACCTTTAATTTGGTTATTTTTCAGAATGTTTGGCAGTATGAAACGTTGCTCAAGATGTCAAGCGGCTATCTTAGCATCAGAGTTGGTGATGAGAGCCCGAGAATTAGTATTTCACGTCAGATGTTTCTCTTGTGCAGCATGTGCAGTACCACTTACTAAAGGAGATCATTTTGGTATGAGAGATGGTGCTGTCCTATGTCGTCTTCACTATGAAATGGGTGCTGAACTTCATCCATCACAAAGTCCACCAGTTCCTGTATATCCACCAGGTCCTCACTATCCTGGTCAACCATTTTCATCATCAGAATATTTACATCATCAACCACACCATGTATCATCACATTCTCATCATTCTATGCATCCTCAACATCCTCATCAACTTACTCACGCCAGTCCTGTACCACTTCAACCATCAACACCTTCAGGACCAGATGTAGGATCACCACCTAAAGTACCCTACTTCAATGGTGCCGCTCAAGCTGTTGGAAGTGCTGCCGGAGTTCCACCACCTAGACAAAAAGGACGACCTAGAAAAAGGAAACCCAAGGACTTGGAGTCGATGACAGCTAGTCTCGGTTAGTTGCTTCCTTCTTTTTCAAGATTTAACTTGCATTCACAAGCTGTTCTCTTCTGATTAGAGCAGAGACTCATTCGCACGTGTTCTCAATGAATGAGAAAGAAAGTATTACTCGCATCATTACCATGTGCTAGACACACATGCAGCTTTCAGACAAAATATACAAAGAGTCTACTTTTTCATAATACTCATTTTTTAGTATCAATATCCTTGAATATAATTTTTTCTCCATTTTTTGAGGTTAAATATTTGAATGTAAGAAATTTCAAGACTACTTTTTTTTATTGTTATTTTAAGCAATCTCAGTTTTTAGATCAATGAGCTAGAAGGTTTTGGTTGAGTGGTTGTGGTCGCGTGGCATAATAAAAAAAAATTTGAAGAAGTCAAGATTTATCATGGTACACTATAGAATGTATTACTGCACTTATAATTCAATTTGAATATTAGTCTGACAAAGTCATTTTTTATTCAGGACGGTTACATAGAATGAGCGTGAATTCGATTTGTAAGAAAGTCTTTTTTCTCATTTGTAAAGTTTTCTTCTCACGAAAGGACTATGCCTCTGTAGATCCATGCGATCGCAATCAGGTACCTTGATACACGGCAAAACAAACTTACGGAGAAACACTATAACGTTTTACACGACACGGGATTCAAATGTAGGCATTGGAACTCTCGTCGAGTTCCCAAGGCCAAGCTGCTCTGAATTCAGTTTATTTCTTTCATTGCTTTCGACCTCAAGCAGTGGTGATTTACGGAAAGCGTAGGCGTTTGGTGTTTGCCACTGAACCCTGATAAAATTTGTACGGTCGACATAAATTCACAAGTACGATCTCCTGCTTTTTTCGTTCAACTCTTCTTGCTTTTTTTTTGCTCTTCTATCTTTATTCCTCTTATTAGCGTGGGTCGTATCACTCGAAATTTCAATCTTTAAATCTGCTTTGCCATTCGATCGTGAAAAACAATGACTTTTTTTCTGCTTCAACATATTTCTTTTTTTTTTTCAAAACTTATTTTTGGTATAAATATTTTATTGATAATGACATGAGCTAAGAATTCATTCTCACTATGATTTAAGATGAACATCAAGTAATTCTGAATTAAAGGAAAATGATGGTGGAGTTGGACACCTAGTCTAGCTTGGAAAGCGTGGAATATTGTCAGTCATAAAGTAGTTGAATGAATAGCTAATTGGAATTCATTTTGTATTGATAATCTTTATTGAACAATTAAATCTTGGGCAACGTTGTAAATAATAGTTGTGAATGCTGCCATCAACAATTACATATCCAATAAACTAACTAATTTATAGCTTTCACTACTTTACTGTTTTAGCTATGTTATAATGCTGGGTAGTTTTGGATATGAATCTTCAACATAATCGAATTACTAGTAGTATCACGATTTAATGGTTGTTGTTCTGATGATGTTCAACTAAAATCGAGTAAAGATTGATCACTTAAAGCAATATTAAAAGTAGATTATAGCATCAAAAGTCTTGAAGTATGATTTGGATTCCCATAAATTACTCATTAAATATGAAAATTGATAGCTTAGGTAAATTCAATAGATTCACCGGGAAGTGTTAATAAGAGAAAGAGAAGTTAGAGAGTCCATAAGAAGCGTACATTGCACTATAGTTCAAACTCTAGTGCTGTTTGATGCGTATCACGGCTCATTAGCTTCTCGAGTGCAAACGAGTGAGGAGTGATAGCATATGCGAAAGAGAATGCTTGAGCTGGGTATACACGACCAATTACAACTCTATGTCGTGAATAGTTTGTAAGCATGCGATATACTGACAAGATGCCAAATAAATTTAATGTTTGATCGGAGATTCAAATAGTTATGTAGAGATTATAAGCTTGATGAATCATGATTGTAAATAGTTATATTGGATTTTTCATTATTGCAGATTTGAACTCAGAATATATGGATATGCCTTTCGGAAGAGGTGGTCCAGGAACTCCAGGCATGCCTGGATCTAATAGTCGAACAAAACGTATGAGAACAAGTTTTAAGCATCATCAGTTAAGGACGATGAAGAGTTACTTTGCCATCAATCACAATCCTGATGCCAAGGATCTTAAGCAGCTTTCCCAGAAGACCGGATTGCCAAAGAGGGTACTGCAGGTAAGCAATACCATTTTCATTCAGTTGAATCAATAATATACTCGTTTTTTTTTTTTATTGATCAAAATAGAATTACGAAAGCTTGAATTGGATTTAATTTTAAATAGTCTAGTTGAGCAATTATTTTTAGAAAATTTCCCAAGATGTTCTTGGGAGGAAAACAATATTAGAATTGGGAAAATTTTATCAAGAATTCATTTTATGTTTCTTAAGTTTTGCAATAAGGTGCACTTGATGATAAAGTAGTCTTAATAAATACAAAACTGGTTGAAAATGTTTTCTATCAAAATTAAATGATTCTTATTATTATTTGTTTCATTTTTCATTGCATCAGATACATACGTAAATGTCAAACTTAATCCTCATACATGGAACAACCAATATGATTAAAAACAGTCTAGACCTTAAGTAGAATCACACCTAATTTTTCAGACTAAAAAAGAAATCATGCAAATTGACTACAATGCTAATCAAATAGTTGACGTCATATTAAAAGACATTAAGTGTTAATATTAAATAGCATACAAATAAATTTATTTGACTTTCCCTAAGAATTATTTGTATTTGCAAGTGGACTATAAATAAAGTTGATGATTTTTCTTAAAAAATTGAAAAAACGAATCAACGTGTGCTTTTATTCTTGATTCCGAGCAGTATCTTATATATCGTTTTTTCTTTACACTCGATTCCTATAAAAATATTCAGAGGGCAAGTCAGAGAGTATGTATATAGGTTCTTCCAATTAGTGCGTCCCAGTACACGTGAACGGCTGCGTTCGCGATATTTCCGTCGACGCTTTCCTTCGTTATCCACGTTTCTCCACCGACCTGGGCAACGTATAGTAACATTCAAATAGAACTAAATCGTCGGTCTGCCCTCTTTAGCCTTCGTTAAAATGACGCCTTTTTGTGTAACTGTTACCACATTTCTTGTGAACAAAAAAAAAAAAACCACGTAGACACTGTACTTTAAATAAATCATTTTCATTTTTTTATTTACTTATTTTAAGTATAACAGTAACAGAGAGTAACAAATACATCAAAGTTTCTAACTGTTGAGTCCATTCAAGTGAGTTTCAGTTGCACAGTTTCGAGGATTCATGAAGAACACTTCATTATCTCTTAAAGTTTCTTTTTTTTTTCTCTATTTTTACCCATTAGATTTCAGAGAACGAGAAAGATCTCTTGAAGAAGATACATGAGTAGACAGAATTGTGAAAGGAAGGGAAACGATATAAAACGAAAAGCGAGTTCAGTAGTGGGCAAAAAAAAAAAAAGAATCTATTGTATTTGGCGCAGACGAAGAGGTCTTGGAAGTGTGCGCCATCTTGCTTGATATTGATCGCGAGACGCAAATACTAACCTCTCTACCGCCTGTTATTCAATGTTCCTTCCCTTGTTGGTTCCTCCTTTCCTACATAACTCTCTCAGATTCTCTTGGGAATGAGGGTGGAGACTCTTGAAAATGGCGGATTCATCCCTTTTTTTCTTCTCTTTTTCATTCACAATTTTACATATGCATTTTACTGCTCTCTAGTACTTCGCGTGATCTATTTTCATTCAATGAGATCATATATACCGGATGCTCGATATTGTTTATCACCAACTATAGCATGTCCCTGTACTGATGTGATTACTTTATGCTTCATTTCAAGGTTAGATCTTGGCTCACGCTCGATTGCGACTTGAATTAATTGGAACAGGTGAAAAAAACGAGAAACTAATGACTGTCAACTCTATGAGGCGCCGCGACACTTATATCTTCTCTCTTTTTTTCCTCTTTTTTTTTTGTTTAAAATCATCCTTTTTTGACCGACAAATTGTTTTAATTAGTCAGCATAATTAACATATCCATGTGTGTTGTTGTACAATACTTTGTATGTCTCATTTTAATGTGATGTCTTTGAGTATGTAATTTACAGATATTTACAAGTCTACCAACATATGGGAAACATTTTTATTCAGTTGTTTAAATTTTATGTATATGTTTTGCATCATCAGTATTTCATAATAATTACTGTAATCTGTTTGGAAATTACGCACACTGATACACTGAGGAGAAATTTACTGTGAATAAATAATATTAATTTTAATTAAAAATGTCTCATTGAATATTGTCACTAAAAAATGATTATTAATAATTATTCGATATTATTAATCACAGTAAAATAATAATAATAATGAAAATAAACTTAAATAAATATTTTGACTCAATAAAATAAAAATAAGTAATAAATAAATCCAAGTTGAATGAATATATAATTATAATGGAGGAGGCACAAGACTAATTTTCCAATAAATTTGTATGATTTCAGGTATGGTTTCAAAATGCAAGAGCGAAATGGCGACGAATGGTACTAAAACAAGAAGGCAAATCAGACAAATGTGGCAGCGTCGATGGAAACTCTTTAGGAGACCTTGAATTGTATGGCAACAGCGCTGGAAGTGGAGGTCCACCAATGAGTCCACCTTTTATGTTGGCTGGACCACATAGTCCTGCTTCTTTGGCCTCTTTGGATTGCGCGTGATTTAATCATTTATTCCGTATTAGGAACATCTTTTGCGAATCAGTATCAGGTGGATTTCATTATCCAAATCTAGCCTCTAACGACTCTAAAATCGATGTGAATATTTAATGACGAGTCTTAGAGACCTTGTAAAGAATCAATTTAACGTCTGAACAACTAGGATAAAGTTGTAGTTGTATGAACTGTTTATATAAGGAAAATATGAATATATAAATAGCGATAATATCGCCTTGTACTATAGCTAGCGAAAAAAAAACAATTATAAAAAATTTACGTGTATTTATTGTAAACGTTAAAGAAAATTGACAAAAGATATTTTTGTCGTTATTTAAACAAAACAAAAAAAAATAATAATAATAAAAATTAACAATATCCCGGATGATATTGACAAAGGCTATGACGTGAAAAAGTTGAAAAAAAATATATATATAACTGTGGAATGCAATGATGGTTAAAAAGCCGATTAGATTTATACTATGACATTATTTCAAGAGATGATTCCTTCTTTTTCACAATTAATCTTTTAAATAAATAATACGTGACTAGCTAATTAGTATTTATTTGTAAGATTTCATCAGCCAGTGAAATTTTATTTTTATTGGATTAAAGACGATACTTTTTTATGTAAATATTTGAATCAATAAAAACAAACAATCACCTAATAAGTACATAATATACATTTACATACAACAAAAAAAAACATACATCGTGGACAGTGATCTACATTTAGGGATGTATTGCATTAAGGTTGCGGTCGTTATAGCTGTGGTCATGTAATAATAATAGTACTATTGCTCCTATCATTAGCCTTGTAACTGATCGGAACTGCATAATTTTACAAGATGATTTTTTCATTGAATATATTTTGACAATATTATTACTGATTTTTTATTCTTTTTTACATCCCTTTTTTCAAAGTTCCAACTTCCTGTACTTCTTTATTCTTACTCCTAGAGTTTTCCATGTCTTACGGGTAACACTACAAGTTTCTATCAGGCATGAAAGACAGTAGATTTCTTCTCAAAGTATAAATCAAGTCATTTAATTTGTGGGAAGAAGTTGGATTGGAAAAACAAGCGATAACCAAGCGCCGATACTAGTTACCAAAGGGACAAGAAGGAGAAACTTCAGCAAGTAACCAAGTATGGTGGATATCTTGACGAGGAGCAATAGAAAGTCTTGTATCTATTTCTTGAGTACTGGGTTATGGTGTACGAGTTAGTATGTATATGTTTCTCTGTATACGCAAGTTTTTTGTACAAAGTCATCTTCATTTTTTCAAGACTTATTTTATTTACACATCAATGTACCAGCTATCATGCATATGTAATTGAATTGACCAACATCCAGGTGAATTTGTACTTCCAAAAGGTCTTGGTTGGAATGAGCAAAATGTAAATGAGATGATCTAGTTGGGTAGTGCACCTAAAAGTATAGATGGGATTTATTTTAATCATCGTAGTTTATTATGATAATTAAAGTTCTTTATGATACAAACGACAGCATGGTTTTAATATGAAAATGATTTAGGGTAGTCATTGCGTGACGGTTTAAACATTTTTTGTAATTTAAGTGCAGTGTCTTATCACATGATACATCCAGAGTTTCCAGAAGGTCTTGGATAATTTAATACAGCAGTGATAATGTTGATGTTACTGATCATGAATTTGTTACCATATGAGACACATTTTTTACTCCAAGGTAGTATTGTGAACTTGATGAAGTATGAAAGAATGAATATGTAGAAAAATTGAGAGGACTTGCTTTTAGCATCACCCAAAACCAATCAACTTAAACTGTAAACCCGCATGCATATTGATTTATCTATATCTATTCAATATGATCATTATCTAGTAACTTTGACGAAGCTTCAATGTGGGCCCAGAGGCTCTTTCACTTACTCTTATAGAAATCATGGGAGTATGTTTTACGCCCAAGAGCATACATTGTTCAGCTCTATGCTAGGGGTTACTTGTCGTGTATATATTTTTTGGAAAATCCATTTGTGTGCTTCAAGCAAGAGCAAAAACATTTTTCTTTTTCAAAAGGATTTTAAATTATTTAAAAACATATTAAAAATCAGTACCAACAGGTCTTGATGACATGTAGATTGTAATAATGTAAAGCACATATTTCCTTGAAAAAAAAAAATGAGTAGATAAAAATGGTAGGAATTGAATAGAAAAAAAAGCCATAGATTCTGCAAGATGAAGGTTTTTTGCTTCATTTCCAATAGTCGTGTATCTGGCAAGATAATAAATGGATTAAAAGAGTAAAGAACATACCTGCATTTAGAATCATAATTCAAAGATCTAACAACGTGATGGGATGACAGTAGCTGCGATTTCCAAGTGAGATTATTCTGTGTCTGCATTCTACGTCGGGCAAACGCCGGTAGCAGCTTGAAGACGAGTCAGTAGCTTGAAGTAGGAAAAGAGAAAGAGAGTAAAACGACAACGAGCAAGCGTTAGAATGCTTTACCGGGATTCCTGGGTAATGTAGCAAAGACGCATAGCTCAGGATTTCCACGTACGTACGCATCGTAAGGTACGTAGGATATTTATGTTGTACAATTTGCTTCAGCCCTCCACCAAGCAACGTATTCCCACGTATACGGTTGTTCAATTCCAACGATCTTAATTAGTTGAGAGGGAAACCTCCATGAATGGAAGAGATTCGCCATCAGATCTTTTTATTTCGTTTTACTCTTATCCAAATGTATAGCTTTTAATCTTGCCGATAATCTGATTGATGTGAAAAATCAATTAATGATCAATGCCCAATTGTTCTTTGTGATGAGAACGTTGGAGTTGATTTCAGCCGGAAGATTGACTTTTTTCAAAATATTTGTATCATTCTGAATAGCTAAATGATGAGGTGAGCTAAGATATTTTAGTTGATTTGAAAGAGTTGACAGCAACTTTAAACCGTACATTGATGAAAGAATCCATGTCTATCATCTTTTGAGAGAGTGGTTCAGTTTTATTAGTTAGAATGTGAGGAACTTGTCGTCATGAGTGTTCTGTTGTCACCGACCAAAGACATCGATCATCTTTCTTATCGAGTCAGACGATCCAAGAAAACTAGTGGGCGAATGGTGACACATCAATGAAAACTACCTTTTTTTTTTGTCTCCAACTCTTTATGGCTCATCGATTTTGAGAATAAGTGGTCTTCCTATACGAACAGAACGATTTATCGACAAGACATTTTACGCACCTTTCTACATCACCAACTGGTTTATTCATTTTTCTACCCTGAAAGATGACTGAGTGAGTCGATTAAAATTTCATATAAGATGTTAGTACAGAGGCATGTTGGTGACTGACTAAAGTAAGATCAGTAGATCTGAAGAATAATATGTCGACAGGAAGTCTCTGAAGAACATCAACACTACGGTTTCTTCCTTCAAATAATGACTTCTTATACTTTTCTAATAATTCATACCAAGTTAAATCAAAAGACCTCAAAGTAACACCAAAAGCTACCAAGTGAATATTGAAAGAAAAGAAGAAAGAAAAAAAGAGAAAACATCTTTGTCGAGGTCTCGTGGGTGACAAATAACCGCAGATTCTACGGATTCGCAAAAGCACGCAGTCTGAGCTAATTAGCAGTTCACGGGCCCTAGAGACTTAGGGGCAGAAAACAAAAACAACGGTGCTCTTGCATGAATTGGAGATAGCGGAAGGACAGAGATAGAGGCTTAGTATTTATATGTATATGTTGAGGACAGTGAGCGATGCTGCACCTGCTATCCTGAGTCAGCGTAATAGCACTGAGATGTCACAGATCGTATAACCAAAAATGAAATTACTGTTACACTTTTTTAACAGTAATATATGTCAGTGTAATAATAAAAATCTACATTCACTTTAAAAATGGGGAAATTTTTTTTTACATGAAAATTATTATAATTTTTTGCTTTATGACAATAAATTGCAAATAAACAAAGAGTAAAAATTAATTAATTAATGATAAAAAAATAGTGGAAAAATCTTAATTATATTATTATTTAATTTTTCTACTTTATTTTGGGGTAAATTTTTACCCGTAATATTAAATTAATATTATTTCTAATTTTTTTTATTTATTTAAGATGTTTTTTCTTGTAATTAAATTAAATATTTATTTTTTTATAGTGAAATTTAAATATTTAAGAGAAAACAGGTACATATCAAGATAGTTTTGTCTAATGAAAAAAATCAACTAATGTTGTGTCCAGAATTTCAACTTCCGACGATAAATCGTAGTGAGTCACAGACATTATCTTAACTCGTAAGTAATTAGCGTACGATTGAGAGTCTGAAAGATGTGTTCTCGTACAGAGGGTGGTGGTACTTATATTTTTCTCTTTTCATCTTCTTTCTCTTACGAGAACTCAAGCCAAGATTTTTGTCGGTTAATGTACTTTAGTGTGGTATTCGTAAGTGATACGTGACCGCACACACTACTGTAAGGCAAATTTGGTAGGCGGTTCTTAAATGTGGAGACACGCATTGCTGTTACATTCTTTTTGCAAATATTTATCAAAAGTCAAATGTTCATGTGTCAAATTAAAACATTTCATTATTTTTTACCAAGACAATTCATTTGGTGAAAAAAAAAAAAATAAAACTTGAAAATATTTTCTTGAATTTAGAAAAAAGATTTGCAAAAATAATTTTTTTTTGTTTGATTGGTTAATAGTGTCATGATGTCATAATTTATCTGTGAAATAATCTAAAATAATCTGATATTAATTGAGTAAAAATTACCCAGCACGATGGTAAAATTTCCCCCAAAAGAGATTAACTTTTATAATGCAGAAATAAATATTTTGTAGAGTAAAATTTACTTAATTATTTTTATTGTGTATTTTGCAGGATAATTTTTTTTTGTTCATTCTACCGGGTAATTTTTACCCCATTCCCCCTTTCCGTGTACATAAGAGAGTAAATTTTACTCCAAACTATCAATTTTTTGTACTAAAAAAGTATAAAAATTATTTACAATAACAGCCCCTTCTTTTACCTGGGGTAAATTTTGAGGGAAAATTTATTTCACTTTTATATCATTACACTGTAAATCCCAGTTTTCCAAAATGCATTATTTTAATGCGAATAAGTGTGTTAAATATAACGTCACCCATTTGATTAACATTGTAGTCATTTTTAATGCAGTTCTAAGTGTGTAAAAAATGACTACAATGTTAATCAAATGGGTGACGTTATATTTAACACACTTATTCGCATTAAAATGATGCATTTTGGAAAACTGGGATTTGCAGTGTAGACTTTGTATCAGAATTGGATTCTTATTAATGAATCGAACTTTTATCAAACAGTGTGAACGATTTGAGCTGAATCTCACGATTAAAAATCATAACTCTTAACCATTCTAATTAGCATACTCATAAATAGGTAAGAATAATTAAAAAAATAGGCGGTCTAGATAATCATCCATTGTTTTACAAGTTTGTTATATTTAATTGAGTAATTTAAACGATAAAGTATCCCAATTAGGAGCTCAACAATAACATGAAGAAGTTTCAAATTTCAGAACAAATATGTATCAAAAGACTGCAAACATATAGTCCCTCTCGACTTTGTTGAGATGCCGGTTCTCGTGTGCCAGTAACAAGTCCCGTGATGATTTACGTTTACTCTTTGGCCCCTAGAGTAAAGTAATCCGCATTTGTTTATTTATCCAGACACTCAGCAGAGACCGCGAGGCACCAAGAAATCTCTAACGTGTGATTTAGGGTTTCGGGTTCCGATACACTCACCAGTCCGAAAGGTCTACGTTTTAATTTATTACTCTCCACATTTGCTTTTCTTTATCTTTTAAGGTTCGAAGTGTAGATTGTAGAGTGTAGATTGAGTTCTAATCCATACGAGA